AAATGCACTTTACTGCATCGAGCTGCAAATATAGGAATGCAGTTTACTGCTTCAACCTGTAAATATAGGAGTGCAATTTGCTGCATCAACCTGGAAATATAGGAATGCAGTTTACTGCATCAACCTGCAAATATAGGAGTGCAGTTTACTGCATCAACCTGAAAATATAGGAATGCAGTTTACTGCATCAACCTGAAAATATAGGAATGCAGTTTACTGCTTCAACCTGTAAATATAGGAGTGCAGTTTACTACATCAACCTGTAAATATAGGAGTGCAGTTTACTGCATCAACCTGAAAATATAGGAATGCAGTTTACTGCATCAACCTGAAAATATAGGAGTGCAGTTTGCTGCATCAACCTGCAAATATAGGAGTGCAGTTTACTGCATCAGCCTGCAAATATAGAATTGCAGTTTACTACATCAGCCTGCAAATATAGGAGTGCAGTTTACTGCATCAACCTGCAAATATAGAATTGCAGTTTACTACATCAGCCTGCAAATATAGGAATGCAGTTTACTGCTTCAACCTGTAAATATAGGAGTGCAATTTGCTGCATCAACCTGGAAATATAGGAATGCAGTTTACTGCATCAACCTGCAAATATAGGAGTGCAGTTTGCTGCATCAACCTGCAAATATAGGAGTGCAGTTTACTGCATCAGCCTGCAAATATAGAATTGCAGTTTACTACATCAGCCTGCAAATATAGGAGTGCAGTTTACTGCTTCAACCTGTAAATATAGGAGTGCAGTTTACTGCATCAACCTGCAAATATAGGAATGCAGTTTACTGCATCAACCTGAAAATATAGGAGTGCAGTTTGCTGCATCAACCTGCAAATATAGGAGTGCAGTTTACTGCATCAACCTGCAAATATAGAATTGCAGTTTACTACATCAGCCTGCAAATATAGGAGTGCAGTTTACTGCATCAACCTGCAAATATAGGAGTGCAGTTTACTGCATCAACCTGAAAATATAGGAATGCAGTTTACTGCATCAACCTGTAAATATAGGAGTGCAGTTTGCTGCATCAACCTGAAAATATAGAATTGCAGTTTACTACATCAGCCTGCAAATATAGGAGTGCAGTTTACTGCATCAGCCTGCAAATATAGAATTGCAGTTTACTACATCAGCCTGCAAATATAAGAGTGCAGTTTACTGCATCAACCTGCAAATATAGAATTGCAGTTTACTACATCAGTCTGCAAATATAGGAGTGCAGTTTACTGCATCA